AGTAACTAGTTGTCGGTGACTTTTGCTCTTAAAATTGCGACAAATTTCGGTCAATTTGATGTTGAACTGTAAGACATAATTAGAGATCATTGCTAAATCAATTGCGCAGCATAATATTGTAACTTCAACGGCTCAGCAAACGGTAGCACCATTTCTACTCCCAAGTACCTACCCAATCAAGCTCAACAACTCTGCCGCAACCTGTTATTTTTAAATGTCGCACGAGAAAACGACCTTATCAGCTACCGGGCTTCACTTTCGCCCGTGTTGGGGCTGTGTGAGACGGGGTAGCAAACCTGACAAACGACTCAATTATCTACTGGAACAGTAGCAAGGCCAGATATTGTACATCATCTGACATTAGAAATGACATTGTTGAGATACGAACATGGTCGTCAGCTAGGCTTTGTCTTGCGTAACCACAGTAGCAGAAAAGGTGTACGAGTTTTTAGAAATTGTGCAGCAGTCTTGATAAGGGTTATATTCTGCACATTCATTTTAATGTCGTTTGAAGAAACGAGCAGCTTTGACACAGTTATATAGGTCTATCTATATCTGGAACATATCTTGTTATGATATCCAGTATCCACCAAAAATTAATGACAAGATGTAGGACCGTTTTTACCTTGTTTTGAAAATGCAGGCAGGGTATCTATTCTGCAGGCGACTTTGGTCAAGCTGTCCTAAATATAAATATTCAAACCCACGCTCTTGACTGCTCAGCTTTGACTTCGTCGATGAAACCTTTCCCACCAAAAAATAAAAAACGGGTTACATACAAGGCATCCATTTCAAGCATCAGCCTTTCAGCGGAAAATTTTGACCGAGGAGCTGACCGCGCGGCCGGACCCTCCGTTGGGCGGACCAGTCGCGTGCCCCGACTGGCCGGCGCCGTCGACGGTCGACAATTATTGCGCTCCAGTTGACTGCTGGGCGGCGCACCGATCGGTCGACCCGCCCAGCTATGTCCGGCATGATGGGTCAGACGCCGGGCGTGGCGAGGGAGGGCAGGGATGGACGGAGGGAGTCGGGAGGACGGGAGACGGGTACTGTGGGATCACATGAATATAGATTGGGGAGGAGGGAGGTGTGGACCGTGTGAAACAGCGCCGAAGCAGTGGTGATTTCGCCTTTTTTGTGTCGATTTGTTGATCTGATGCGTGAGTGCCTTGCTACAATATTCATAATGGACCTTACGGTGCCGAATCATTTTAGTGATCTGAAGTTTGATTGTGTGAAAATAATCAAAGCTGCCGGGAATATTATGCTTTCAGCCAGCTGAAGTTCACCCAAGAAGAGAGTTGCAATATGTATCGAGGTAGCTATGTTTGATTTGGAAAACATAATCTGAGCCCGGATTTCTGTCATCCGGTCACCCATGTTGGTACTTTTGTGTCATAGATGACACCAAATTAGACGGTGTCAATCAAACTTTCCCTTTGGCAATTTTCCCATGAACCTCTGGTCGCCTAATTGTTTTCTCAGGCTCCGGGTGCAGGTAGTGACTTCATCACCTAATCCTTTCAGTTACGATAGCGGCCATTAAAATAGAAGCCTCGGATAATGGCCTATCTAGTTCAAAATAGGTTGTATTTCTTGTACATTGCAAAATTACACCAGTCATGCACGTTTCAAAAAGCATTGTTTGGCAGCCAAAAAGGATATTGAGAGAAACATATAGGCGATAATTTACCACATAACACCGTCTCTAGTTAGCTATTCTAACCCATATTGCTGTTGGTACTACACCGTTTCGAGCAGTTAGGCAGTACTTAAAGAGATCATATCGAAATGCCTGCAACCCAATTTAGTTAGCATGATATCTCAAGGATGTATATTGTCACTCTCATTTGTAAATGTCATAAGCCTGACAAGGCATGAAAATTACGACCAGCTTAGGTGTTGCAAAGAAGCTGAGAGATTTTGGAGAGCGGGCGTGTCAGAACCGAGTCTGGGGCTTGTCAGGCAACGCCACAGTGTGTCAGCCGGCGGCCGTGTCAGTTGGACCAGACGTGTCGCATCGACAGTTTCGGGACAGGTGTGCCGAAATATCAGTATATCTAGCCGGCTTCTTCAGCGAATGGGAAAGTAGATTTCAGCAGGCCAGGTGAATTAACGCTGCGGAATAGCATGCATGCATCAGTCACATACATACTCCCTACATCTTCGGAACCACGTCTAGAGATTCTGACATCGATGACTCAGCAATCGTCAGAACTCAGAAATCAGAAATCAGTTCAGTTTGAATCCAACTACATTTTGAGTCAGACGACCTTTGCTCTGCCAGGAACACGAACGCATTCCGAGAAATTCGGTACTCGTTGAGGGCAGCCCCTTCTCCTAAGCAATTAACTTCTTCTTACAGGCTAAACGATATCTTTCCTGGGTCCTCGACTCAACAGTCCCCATGCTCATGTTCATCACCATCGTCTCCCTCGCCTAACCCCTGCCCCATCTTTCCAGGTACTTCTCCCCTGACTGACCTCCCTTGGCCCCCTGGCCCGCCGTCCCTCCTGACCCGTCTCCTTAGCACATCTCCCCCGGCCTGTCCCCCAAACTCATCTCCTCTGACCTGTCTCTTGATCTGTCTCCTTTTGCCCACCTCCCTTTGCCCATCTTTCCTGACCCATCTTTCCTGGCCCATCTTCCCTGGCCCCTGGCCCTCCGTCTCTCTTGACCCGTCTCCCCTGACCCATTTCCCTTGGCCCCTGGCTCGCAGTCTCCTTTGCAGATCTTCCCTGGCCCCTGGCCCGCCGTTTTCCCCTAGCCCGTCGCCGACTCCCTGGCCCAACTCCTTGGCCCGTCTCTCCGGGCCCGTCGCCGACTCCCTGACCCATCTCCCCTGGCCTCTGGCCCGCCGTCTCTCCGACCCGTCTCCGACTCCGAGTCGCCATGTCGGCCGTCACCGGTCCGTGTGGTCGGCCCGCTCGGCAGCCGTGCCGACACACCGCTGATAGGCGTACAAAGGCCTGACGAGTCGCGCCTTCGACCGTCACCTGCATAATGCCAGGCACGAACAAATTGGCGACATTAGGATATCAGCCCATTGTCTGCGCGGCCCCGCGGCGGCTGCTGCAGCGCCGGCTGAGGACAGCCGCGGACAGCGGGGACAGCGCGGACATCACGGACAGACTACTGACGGCGCGGACACGTCAGGCGACATCACTGATGTTGGATAATGTGGTGTGAAGCGATGAAGACTAGCGTCCACGATAATTGATTGAATGTCTGCAACATCTGACGTGATTGGCCGATATGTTCTGCTATTGTCACCTGCTGATGAAGAACTCAGTCAGACGTAGATGGACACAGAACGGCGACTGGTGTCTTCAGGGTGACATTGCCCGACATCATCGGTAAGAAATGAGCCATTGTCTTTTGTGACGTAAGCTGACATCAAGTGGCAGCACGAGACATGATCAAGTGCACGTGAAGCCAGAGTCCAAACTCGTGCAAGCTGACCGCAAGCCCGACTATTTTGGATCTACCGGAAATCGGGCACTCTACGAAATGCTGCACGAGCTCGACCTGCTACTCCGCCTGTCTATCCAGCCCAGGACGAAGCACACTGCTACATCCTGCAACATATGACGTCACGCACGGGCCGAGAGTGACGTCACCAGGGGTGCACGGCAGCCGGCCGTCCGCGCAGCCCGGCAGCGGAGCGGGCGCTGTCAGCGCGACGAAAACAGCGATCAGCCGATTGCACCAAGTGGCGCCGATGCGATTTTTCAGTGTCAGAATGCCGTGCGTTGCCTGTCAATCGGACGCTATCAGGTGTTGGCGGCGATAAGTTCCATGTTCGGCGCTGTCGCCGTTTCCTGCACGCCACTGCAGGCGAATGACGTCATCAGAGGAATGTGGTGTGAACAAGTCCCGACCTCCGCGGGGTCGGACCGCTCGTACACCGTGAGGCGTGCGAAGGTGTGGACATGAAAGAATATCGGCGCGCTGGCACATTACGACTCGTTTTTAACGAGCGCCAGCTGTTTTTGTTTTGACCGGCAATAAATCATGTCGGTGCCATTAGGGCCTTATTAAGGCCGGTGCTGGTTTATTTTCTCGTTACGGAGACACTAACCGGAGCCGACGCCAGCCGAGGTGGCAGCACGATATCACCTCCATCGCGGCCAATGCTGAGTTCCGTGTGTAGATGTCCGACGATAGAGGTGGCTGACACGTCGGCCAGGAATAGTTATCATCCGGCTGATGTGAACAAAGGCGTAACATGAATAGATAAACGGCCGACAAGGGCGCGGTTGGCCGGTCGACGGCGGCCGTGCGGTGGCCTCTCCGGCAGCTGGGGCGCCGGGGGAGGAGGCGGGTCGTGTCCTATCGGTGTCATCCCCCTGTCCGTCACACCTGACACCCCGGCTGACACCTCGCCTGACACCCCAGCCGTCGGCAGCTGGCGTTCCAGCCTCGTTTTTAACGGCAGGTGCCCACCCCTAATTGGCAGGTGCAGCGGGAAATCGGCTCACATTTCGGTAACGAGTCCAAATGTTACCGATAAGAGCGCTTACATTTCATGATGTTTGTGGATACGTCAAAGCATTTAGGGAGATATGGCAAAAAAGGTTACATGGTGTATCTGTGTGACTGAGGATGGGGAACAGGGTTATGACCGACATGATTGATAACAACATAATGACAGTAATAAATAGCCTGATATGAGACATACCTCACATAGTTTCCATTGATAATGTCCATATGGACGTCTATTCCGGTTATTCCTTTGTGATGGAGCATTGCTCGGGTGGCAATGCTCTTCAGCAAGGTTATGTTCACAACTCAGCAACGAACAGGAAGTGGACATAGGTGAATTCGGACCTGCCGATCTCATGCTACGCCTACAATTATTCATTTAGCATTACCATGAATAAAAACATTACCAAGTAATTAATCTTATCAAAGAATGAGCACATTGCTTCGGTGAGGTATGTCCCCGACACTATTGTCACTGTTCACGGACGCTCACCATGTTCTCTCTTCTCCTCCAGGGCGGCGCGTACGACATGAAGGACGCCCCCGGCCCTCTCCCCGGCTTGGGAGCACCGTCACCGTACTACAGTCCCTACGACCCAGCGGCCGCCGCCATGTACCCCTACACAAACGGGTGAGTGTACTGACAATTATTTTTAGTAATGCACCAAATAGAGCTGTGCTATCGTCTCAACTCTCATCTCTAGGTATGTAGGAAAACTAATCTTACCAGTCCTCTGAGCCCAAAAGCACGTCTGCAATTTCTTATGACGAAACAAATAAATGTCGGTGTTCTAAAAGCAATAGTGCGACGGGCAGCATCCAATATATAGGGATTCATTTCCGTTCGAGTATGCACTATGGATTCACTAACGTCGACATCGAACTCGAACCAGTCAGACCTAGCTGGCTTTACTGTTTCATATATTTTCCAAGACGCAACCGACTCAAAGCGCATCTGTCATCCGCGCCAGTAATCTATGAGGCAATGAAGGCCTGTTTCTTCGATCTATTTATGCGGCCAGATCAGCGCTCCATTTCTCAAGAACAGTTCGATCTGTCGAACGCCTTCCGGGCAGTTTTCAAATAATGGAGGAACCCGCCTCAGCTGGCCATCCGCTGGCTCTCTGAGCGGCGGCTGGGTGCTGCACCTCACCTCAGCCCGGTGAGGGGCACTGTATGGTGTACTGCTGTTGAAAGTGCCTTTAGGCGAAATAAGCGTGCCATTTTAGGTCAAGCAAAATCGATTATGCATGTCGCTCAGGGCAAGATTACTACCAGGGCATATTGAATTAGGATTACTACAACATAGTAATCTTGGTCACTCAGGGGAGTCGTCATCGTGGAGCAAGTGGATTGTGTCTGGATCATAATCAGTTGTGTGTACTGCTGTTGTCTTAACCCTCGCACGACCAGGCCATTTCTCATAACACGAACGACCAGGGGGGGGGGTGTTACGACCCCCCCCCCTGGCGTTTCGAAACGGAAGGTCATAGAGCTTAGCGGAAAAAAACCAACGGATTGCTCTCAACGAGATCTCGCGATTGGTGGTATATTTTTTGGTTCTAGGTCAACATTTGACCTACTTATGACCGGTCAAAGGTCAAATTTTCGGAAAAATCTAACTTTTTCAGATTTCCGCGCCGATTGCGGCAAAACGGTAAGAGATATCGACTTGAAACCTTCACTAACGTGATCCTTGATCAATTCTCTATCGTTTGGTGTGTATTTCGATGTCATAACTTTAAAAATGATGCGTTGGGAGCATCGGAAGTCTGCAAGGTCATTTGTCCATTGGGTCACGTCAGGCGTGTGACGTCACTGACCTGACCCTGACCCAAAATGAACTACAAGAAACAACCGACGATGCCTGAAATGGATAGCAAATTCGAATTCAGGGCATCAAAATACCCCGAAATGACATACAACTGCAAGAAGTCATTACAGGTCAACCGAGGTCAATGACCTTACCTTGACCTTTAGTGACCTTCAAAATGTCAACGGACATTGTGCCAATGTCAAATCAGCCAGTTGTGATTCTATAAAACAATCCATCAGTGCGTCAGGTCAGTCGGCATTTATACCAATGTGAAGCAATCTCCAATTTAGCGTAAATCTGGCCGGAGGTTGTTCCCTTTATGACGTCATAACTCCGTGACCTGACATGACCTTGACAAAAAAAATACCAAAAGTTGCGCAAAGGATGCACCAAAGGATACTGAAAATTTGAGCAGGCTATCTGAAACGGTTCGGCGTGTAGCTAAGAAAAACCTCGGGGGGGGGGGTTGATACAACCCCCCCCCCCCTAGGCGTTCTAGGGTTAAAACTGTAGCTTAGGATCTGCAAACAGGCAGCACCCGGCCGGGGACCACAGCTCGGACCCGTCGGCCCGCTCCAGTCCACACCGATCCATCAGAGCAGCGCCCGTCCGACGATCGTCGTCTGACAAATGGCCCGCGCCCGTCGACGCCCAAATAGCATTCCGACCACGACACCGAGCCGCCGGGCCGCTTCATTTCACGAATATCGGCCGCGGGCCGAGGGCGGCGCGCTTGTCACCAATTTGTCGGCGGTGGTGCGTCATTACTGCCGCCAACAGGTTCTGATGCGATCGAGGCGCGGACGAGGCCAGGCGCAGCGCAGAGGGTAACCGGACAAAAAGTCAAAAGGAATAAAGTCAAAAGACAAATAGTCAAAAGACAAAAAGTCAAATGCAAAAAGTCAAACGGGATAAAAGTCAAAAAGATAAAAGTCAAAACGGATAAAAGTCAAAAGACAAAAAGTCAAAAGCAAAAAGTCAAAATGTGCAAAAGTCAAAAACGCAAAAAGTCAAATGACAAAAAGTCAAAAATGCAAAAAGTCAAAAGCAAAAAGTCAAAACGTGTAAAAGTCAAAAGACAAAAAGTCAAAAATGCAAAAAGTCAAAAGGATAAAAGTCAAAACGGAAAAAAGTCAAAAGACAAAAAGTCAAAACGAGTAAAAGTCAAAAGACAAAAAAGTCAAATGGAAAAAAGTCAAAAGACAAAAAGTCAAAAGCAAAAAGTCAAAACGGGTAAAAGTCAAAAGACAAAAAGTCAAAAAATGAAAAAAAGTATAAAATAGAAAAGTCGAAGTCAAAGTCTGAAATAAAAAGTCAAAAGGATAAAAGTCGAAGCATCGATCTTTTCATCTTTTGAAAAAAAAAATATTATACAGCGCAACGTACCCTACCCACTGAAGTTTTGAGGAACATGTGAGTACGCGAGGGATTCTGACAGGTACCGGGGTCCGCAGCAGCGGGGCAGGAACGCAGGCTGCGGTGGTGGGGCCCACGCTCACATAATACGCGTTGAGCGCTTCCGGCGTGCACGCTGGCGCAGCAGCAGTGGCACTCTTCCCCGCCCCGATCACCGGCCGCAGCACTGTCCACATCCTCGCCGGTCCTGCCGCACGCAGCTGGTCAGCATAGTATGCCGCGTGGTCACGTCTGATGGCCGCTCAACACTGCCGGTTCACCACGCGCGCCGCCGCGCCAGCAGCGCTCGCGTGGCGTCCGTGGTGCGCGGAGCACCGGGCGGCGGCAGCCCCTCCCCCATGGGAGAGGGTGAAAAGCAGTGCCTCCTCTAAGCAGTTTTGACTGGGGGGCCCGATCACCGGCAATGACTAAGGTAACCCCTACCAAAAACGTCTAAGACTAAAAAATGACTAAGGTACCCCTCAGTGACCAGTTTGGAGGATGACTGCGGGGGCTGCAGCTCCCGCAGTTAACATGTTAGAGGAGGCATGAGTGTCGTTTTGTATAGGCATGGTAGGGCCCGAGCCCTACCAATAATTTTGGAAATTTAACATTATGCCTATGGCGTTGCGTGGAAAGAATTGCTTTGAATTGGCAAAAATTTACATTAGAGCCCTACCAATAATTTTCGGAAAGTGTCGCCCCTGAGAGGAGGCCCTGGTGAAAAGCCAAAACCTCAAAATAAAAAAATATCATGTGATTAACGCTTAAATGACGTCAATGGACTTAAATTAAAAAATACAAAAGACGAGATAATTTCAAAATTTTGAGTTGCAATTTTTGTCCCCTTAACTTTCAACCTACCCCATCAACTTTTCAAACGTTCCCGGGTCACCACTGCCCCATCGTGCAATTCCAGTATACTATGGCAAAGTTTCATCTGAAAGTTAAACGTGCCCGATAGACTGGACGCGGTCCACTCCCCTCCGTCCACTCACGCTCTCTGGTCTCTGTACGGTCATCGCTGACTGGTCCAGCATCCAACGCGCTGGGTTTATAGAAATTTGGTTAAAAGAAATGAACATATTTTAATGAACGAATCCATTAAGTAATAAAATGAAAATGATTCACAGGTTATCATTACATGTGGGAGCACTGGCGCTGGAACTTTCCCAATGTTGGAGGGGCTCGAGGCAGTTTGAACTCATTTCTTTCCATGCAACGCCATAGGGTTAATTACGAGCGAGCGGTGTCTTATGTTTTTTTTTAGATATGACTTTTTGCTTTTGACTTTTTCTTATTTGACTTTTTCCATTTGATTTTTATCATTTTGACTTTTTTGCCGTTTTTCACTTTTTGTCTTTTGACTTTTCGCGTTTTTTGACTTTTTGCCATTTGACTTTTTGCTTTTGACTTTTTGCGTTTTTGACTTTTCGCCATTTTGACTTTTTGCCATTTGACTTTTTGCTTTTGACTTTTTTCGTTTTTGACTTTTCGCCATTTTGACTTTTTGCCATTTGACTTTTTGCTTTTGACTTTTTGCGTTTTTGACTTTTCGCCATTTTGACTTTTTGCCATTTGACTTTTTGCATTTTTGACTTTTGGACGTTTTGACTTTTTGCCATTTGACTTTTTGTCTTTTGACTTTTATCCGTTTTTACTTTTATCCATTTGACTTTTTTCCATTTGACTTTTATCCATTTTGACTTTTTGCATTTGACTTTTTGTCTTTTGACATTTTGTCTTTTGACTTTTTGTCCTGGAATCGTATCAGCCACCGTGCCCTGAGCCAACGCCACCCCCCACGATTCCTCGCTGTCGCCGCCCCTGCGCGACGCGCCCCTCCCAGCGGTGCACACTGCCGGTGCACAGCGTGCACGACCTTGCAGCGCACGGTGCACGGCCAGCCTCCACCGTAGAACGCACGCGTCACCAGAGCTGGCTCGCGAATAATGCACCCCAGCCGCTAATGAGGATGTATCGGCGTACCTTGGCCACTTCGAGGGTGGCGAAGGAGGGGGAGGGGCAGGGGGAGTGCTGACGCTAATTTCGTCGACGACACCGACTTGGCTGGAAGATGGAGTGTGCCGTCTGGGCCGCCGGCTGATTGGGTGGGTCAGACGGGCGGCACGTGAGAGGGGGGAGGGCGTTACAGCAGCGCGCTGCTGGGTGGCGTCATGGATTGCAAATGCACAAATGTACCACCGTGTTAAACATAGTACTGAATAGATAGCGCAGGGACGTAGCCAACGGGCGCCACGGGGCCATGCCCCCCCCCCCTAACGGCGAAAAATAAAACAAAGTTAAATAAAAAATAAAAATAAAGAACAGCAGCTGCACGACACCTCCAAAAATAGTGGGCCAAATCCGAGGAGTTTTCCTTTTTTGGAGGGGGTACGACCCTAGGCCACGACCTAAGG